CCAATATACAAAATTAGTTCTATTTCTACATACAGCATGGCACTCTGTACAAGACAGCGGCCAACAACTGGAAGCCATTTCCAACGGCATCAAAAGTAAAAATAGTCAGGGATAAATCTGACCCAGGATGGGTCTAAACACGTGCTGAGAGGAAGACAAACTCCTAACAATATGGTGGTGGTTTGTTGTGATTTTTTCCCTTCCTTTGAAACACTCGCTTTTCCTATCTTAAACCAAGAGAGCACCTTCCCACCCGCATGCAGGTGAAGGGCAACTTCCCAGTGGAGAAGGCGGGCTCTTCTCACCCAAGGGTTCAACAGCCTCATTGGTAGTGGGACAAATGACATTCAGCACACCACCTCATACTATATAAGAAGGAGAACCAGCCTCCCTCTGGGACTCAATGATCATATGATCTCAAGGGAGCATAACCCAGATCACATCAAGAGGAAAACCAGGCAAATCCAACCTGAGAACCAACTTCAAGATGGCTGGCTGGTCACCTTTAGAAGTGCCAAGGTCATTGAAGTCAAGGAAAGATTATGACCTAAGAGATGGGACGGCTAAAGGCAACATGTGATTCGGAACTGTATGTCTTCTATAAAAGGACCCTTGGTGAATGAGACCTGAGGGTTATTTGGTAATGTAGTGGAATTTCCTGATTTTAATAGTGATATTTTGGTTGATTGTGGGAAGCATTCCTGGAAGCATAACTTATTCTCCAAGGCTTAAAAAAATAAAACAGGTCTTCCAATCACACTTCAACTGTTCTATAAGCCCATGCTTGTTTAAAAATAATTTTAAAAAGGAATATTATAAGATCATACCTCCTGTCATCATAATCATGATTACCCAGAATTGCATTGTCCCATATGGAAACCACCAGCAACAGGTGGTTATATAAGTTAAAATGAATTACAATCCCCATTAAAAATTCAGTTCCTCCTTCTCCCAGGCCACATTTCAAGTGCTCTGTAGCCCCTTGGCACTGGTGGCTACCATGTTGGACAGCAAAGATGCATTTCCATCACCATGGAAAGTTTCACTGGACGGCGGTGCTCTGGAGACCAGAAGCCTGGTTGCCCTGACACGGAATGTTCCCGACCTTGGGTCTGGGGGACACCAAAGAAAGGTCCAGAAACTCTTGGCATTCAAAAGTGGGTCCTGAGACCTAAGTTTGCTGAGAAATTTCTAATAGAGATTGCAATTTGTTTCTATGATGTGCCTTGTTTTGTTAAAACAGTAACATAACGCTACAGGACGACAAACCACAAAGGCGATCAAACACTCTCATAAAATCGACCTCAGGGTCACTCACCGATTTGCTGGCCCGGGCTCCAGAAGCATCCAGGCCTACTGGCTCGGAGGAGTCTACTACCTGCCGGGATGGCTGCGTGGAGATGTCCCTCAAGTCTCTGGATCCCGATGGGCGGGTGGCTTCTCCGTCTTCCGGAACACCTTCCCCGCTTACATGCTCATGCCAGGAGCTGGGGCCCGTGTCCTCTTGGGGCACCTCCCCAGCATCCTCTTCTGAAGGAGCCAGATCTAAGGAACTGACTCTCTCTTCAGGGGATGGGGCTTCCATATCAGACTCGAATTCCCCTTCAGATTCAAATTCCCCTTCAGATTCAAATTCGACTTCATCCCCTTCAAATTCGAATTCCTCTTCCCTTTCTCCTTCTCCATCAATTTCCACTTCTTCAGCTTCCACTTCCCCCTCAGCTTCGATTTCCCCCTCAATTTCAATTTCTCCTTCACTTGTGACTTCCCCAGGGGCCGTGATTTCCTCTTCAGAGAGCTCTGTGGCACTAGCAACCTCATCAGTGTTTTGGTCACTGGTCTTCCCGGTGGGTGATACCTGGAGATTTGTGGCAGGAAAAAGAAAAACCAGGAAACACAGTCAAAGGCTCCTGTGAAGTTCTGTTCGTAACCGCGCAATCACACTGGTGGGGAACTAGCATCCGCACACGTCCGTGTCCCCGGGAGAGTCTGCTCTGCATTCTGTCTGCTCTCTACAGTGTTTGTAAGGTTCTGCACCCTTCCTTGCGGAACTCCGGTTCTGAAACCCTCAGGTGATCTGAGTAGGGAACGCGGGACAACCCAGCGAGCCACCAGCACTTAAGAATGGGGAGAGGAAAACGAGTTTCTCTGCCAAGGGACTGAGTCTGCTTTGGGCAAGGTACAGGATCACGGTGCAGCTTTCTTGAGCAGCTCTTATCTCCTTAACCCCCAGTAAAGACAAGCCCAGCACAGCCTGCCCCAAGGGGAACTTTACCCTGTCGCCTTCATGATTCCCGGCCTCCCCGCCTTCAAAAGCTGACTCGCTTTCCTGCTGAGACCTAGGGGCAGAAATACAGTTTAACAGTTTCAAAGAACAGTGTTCTTTCCCTTGGCATTGATTATCTCCCGGTGTCTGTCTGTAGTATTATGGACTTGTTGATTATCTGCCTCCCCTCTGGGCTGTTGGATGTTTGTCACCAACCCCAGCACTAGATCATGCTTGTCATGTGGAGGGAGCGCAGGCCACACAAGAGTTGTTCCATGAATGAATGAAATGATGGAAACATTCAGAGAACAGCATCGGAACATTGTAACAGAAAAGTAACCTGAAATATACTTAAACATACTTTCCCCAGCCCAATGGGGCAAAGAAACACAGTGTAAGAGAAAGTTGCACAAAAGGGACAAAGAAGTACAAGAATGTCATGATTTACATTCTTACAATTATTTTTTTCTAATTAAAAATACAAGCTTTCCTTTTTCTTTTCTTTTTTTTTCTCTTTCTTTCTTTCTTTCTTTCTTTCTTTTTTTTTTTTTTTAAGTCAAAGTGATACAGAAATGTGTGACACAGACAATGAAAATCCTCCCGGACTTTCCCTCCCGTTCTCAAGATAACTACTAGTAATAAAAGAGACTTAAGGGTATCTTCTTGCAAATATTTTTCTACACATTTAAAGACACACACAGTTAGAGGTCACCCTCTACAAACTGTTTTCCATTTAGTGTTTTCGTTTAAGGTAACCTGGACCTCTTTCCATGTCAGTATATACAAACTTATCTTTAAAAAAAAGGGAAGCACCGCGGAAACGTCAAAGGTAAAAGGTCCAATTCCTCAAAAGAGTTTCTGTCCCCGGCCCCGCCCCCCCTCCTGGAGGCCTGGCGGTGGCAGGGGAGGTTGGGGTCCCCGCGGTCAGGAAGCCCCCCGGGATCCTCCGCACGCAGAGAGACCCCGCGCAGCCCCCAGCCCCCGCGCTTCCTGCTGGTCTGCGAGTACGGGAACTCTCCGCAGGCACCGCCGGGCATCGTGGTTGCCATGGTTACTGCGGGCCGAGCGAGCCGGGTTTCGGGAGCCCAGCGGCCCGAGCGCGGGGAGAGAGTGAGAGGAAGGAGCGGACAAAGGGACGGGAGATGAGGAAGGGCGCGCAGGGCTGGGGGTGGCCGGGGAGGCGGGAAAGGCCGGCAGGGCGGGGACGGACGGGGCCGAGGCGCGGGGGCGAGGGCGAGAGGGCAAGGGGGAGGCGTGGAGGCCTCTTGGATGCCCGCGACCCCCGCCCCGCTTACCCGCCGTCCTGGTCACCCGGCTCCGCCATCTCCCGTTGCTAGGCGACGCCGTCAACATCCGGCGGGCGGGGACCACGCGCGGGGCAGACGCGGGCGGCGCGGCCTCTGTGCCCGGGCTGCGCGCTGGAAACGCGGAGCAGCTTCCTACGTCAATTCATTAAACACTAACACAGTCTCCCGTCTCTGAGTCCGAGCTCTGTCCCGCTGGCTCAGGTCCGTAAAGGACAGCCGTGTCCACGAGCGTCCAGCCAACAACTCCGATGCCCCAGGGACAGCGCCGGGCACCCGGGGACCCGCGGCCGCTCCGCGCCCCGAAGGTGGCAGGCGGAGGTGGGGGCGCGAGGGGCCCCGGAGCACACTGCATCTAGGGGCTGCCTAGGGTGGGGGCGGTCCCAGCCCGGTGCCCGCCCGTCCATCTCCAGACCTGGGGGGCTCCTCCGCGGGGACGGAGAAGGGATGCTCAGTGGCTTTTTTGTGGGTGATGATCCCTTCTTACCTCCAAATAGGAAACATACAAATGGAGAGGGCGGGACAGAGAGGCGAGCGCGCACGTGAAGCGTCCCAGGGGTCCTGTGTTCCCTGCGGGGGAGGTCGGGCGGCGGCTGTCATCCGCGCCCAAGTCCCGGGACCCGGTATTAGGACGTCCGGGCACGGGGGACTTGGTCCGAGGCGAAAGGTGACTGGGGCAGCATAGGGGCGAACCAAGAGGTTGGAGGGGGAGGGCTCGGCGGGGAATGGGGTTGGGCCCGGGGGGGGGGTGGGGGTCCGGGTTGGGAGGGTTCTGGGCTGGGCCGGTTGGGCAGGGTCGGGTTCGGGTCCCGGTCCGGGTCCGGGTCCGGGTTGCGGTCCGGGTTGGGTCAGGGGCCGGGTTAGGCCCGAGGCCGGTTTGGGGTCGGGATGGGCTCGGGTCCGGGTTGGAGTCCCGGCGGCGCTAGGCGCCGGGTGGGCCCGGGGCCCGGTTTAGGAGCCGG